GAAGATCGTAAGACGACCAAGAAAAACCGTCGGTGAATCATCTCAGTAAAATCTTGCAATTGCCTTTGCAACGCCCCCACTCTGAGCAGCCATTCAGAGGAGCGTAAATTTGAGATCATAGGTCGTTTACAACAGATGGTACATGACACACATGAGTTTTACAGTAAGATCATTAAAGAAATATGACTCTTTCGCGTCTTGCTGCTAAGATTACCCTTAAAACGCACATTTGATGAAAAGAGTGGAACAATGCTATTTACGGCCTTAAAAACGGGTTTTGTAGAAAATAAGGGACAATCAGGTCCTTTGCCAGTTGTCAGTAGAACCCAAGGCAAATGTCAGTTCGGCTATTTGTCAGTTGTCAGTTAACCCCATCCAGACCCTCTGTTATTATCATTATTATTGTTATTGTTATTATTATTATTATTACTATTATTATTATTATTATTATTATTATTATTTTTATTATTATACTTTGCTTTGATTAGGCAATTGCTAGCCAATGCTAGGCCTGTGTGATCAGCTAATGGTTAGATAAGTTAGCGACTAGGTATGATTAAGACCCGTCAGGAAAAATAGCAAATGAGAGCCCTTCTTGAATAAGCGTCTCCTCCTTTCCCTCTCATTTTATTTTTTGGTAAGGCTATATTTGAAGCAATACGGAGTACAAGTGCCGTTTGTTGAGAATGTTGTCACGTTTATCAACCAACACAAAAACACAAAATGAAGCTACGATCTCGGCGCTGCACTTTTCGTAAAAGATCGATGCTCTTTTAAAGAAATAAAGTTTAGCCGTTCACGTTTTGACTCAAAAAAAATTTTTATCGCCCAGGATTGAAACCGAGCCTTTCACGAGCGTTACACTCTCCATCACCACTACACCACCACACCACCAAGCTGATCCTACCAACTACTGAAAGATTTAGCTATATAATGCAAATAAAAAGCCAAATAAAGAAAAAAAAACATATATAGGTCACCTACAATTTTTCTTTGTTTTCGTTCTTTTCCCTCTGTTGTTGTTGTTGTCGTTTTTTTTCCAGTATAATATAAACCTTCTGTTATATCTCTGTCTAATGTCTCGGAATTTATTCAAAACTCGTCTGTTATTATATTTCCTTCTCAGCTGCCCAAAATTCGACTGCAAAAACTACCGAGTTGCACGAAATTTTTGCGGGTTCTAATTTTTGCGATTTTTCTAGCGATCTTCTGGTTTTACATAGCGTACGCATATCGTAGTACTGTTTGAAAATATGTACCTATTATACCAGTTAAATTTACTATCTATTTCAACTTAAACGTTATCGTACTTAGCACCCTTTGCCTGAATCTACCGTATCTAAGTATATCCAAATCAGCTGAACAGACTTAAAACAGTAGAAAAATTGCACCGCCTCAAAACACAGCCCATATTTTCTGAAGCTTCGCAAACGGAATGGCGCGAACCATTGTATTTTCCAACCGGAATTTCCGAATTTCCCATGTAAATGGTAAGTACCCCAGGTTTCTGCGCAACGTCATAATGAAGTGATGGCGTTCCCAAAACAACCCCATAGATCCAGTCTTACGGCCGAGCTCAACTTAACTTTGAAGGACATTTATTAGCAAGATTAAACTGCTCTAACCTCTTGTATGGAAGCGTGGAAAGAGTCTAGTCGTGCTTCTTCTCTTATGCTTGTAATGTTTATTACAAATTGCTTCAGCGTTCTTCTTTAATACTTCCGTCCACATCATCATTGGAACGTAGAAGGTTAGTTTCACTTAATCCATCTCTGCTGCAGGCCAGAAACCCTGATATCTTCAAAGAAAATCCAAAATGATTCATTTTAGACAAAGAGTAATGAGTCGCAATGGCATAAACGTCATTAAATTGTTCGTCCAAATTAAAACTCAGATATAGACAAATAATAGTAGACATAGTAATCAGAGTTCTTTATTATGACCTATTTTACTTAACCATTGGGCTTTTTACGCCATGATAAATTTTTGCTAAATTGAAAATTAGTGAAAAGGAATTTCAAAACTGATTTTTTTTTTGATAGGGCTCTAGCAAAAATCAAAATGTTATGAGCGAGATATGACCATTCAAATAAAGCCTCGTAAGCAGTGCTTTTACAAGAACTGACACGATCACAACATTTTATATCATTCAACAAAATGTGATATAGAAAGTATACGTCGATTTTTGTTTTGATGACTTTGATAGTGTAACGTTACGCAACACAACGGCGGAAGGTAGACTAAAGGACTGCTAATAAAACGTCTGTGTGCGACAAACGTGTCAGGGCTTTTACCTGTTTGTTTTCTTGCGATCTTCACTTGACACTGTACTAAACTGTGTTATAGTCTTTTACAAAAAGATCATTTGCAAGGAAGTTTCATTTTTTTTTTTCAAACATAACTATTGTCACACAAGGACCCATAAGGTTTGCAGTCTCCTTTCTCTGCCGTCCTTTTGCGTAAGTTTAATAGTGTTGGAAGTTGGTTTTGGAATGAGACGAAAAAGACAACTGGTTAAAGAATTTAATTCTTTAAATCTTCCAGACTTGAAAATATGTCACTTTATCTTAAGCTGGGTCTAGAAACAAAAAAGACGCACCTTCAGTAGATATTGTTATGTTCATTCTCGTTGCCAGTCTGTTCATCATAAGCTGCAGCAGTGCCTTTGTCGTAGCCAGTAAACTCTGTGTGATGTGTGATCGTTTCAAAGACTCCAGAAACGTGTGGAGCTCCTCAAAGGCCAGAGATAATCCACAACGGGTTAGAAGCAACCGGTGAAGCTATCAACAGTTTCGTCTGTTTTGCGTCCAGTTTCTACAAAACAACAAAAGAAAAGAAACTAGTCTGTTGATAATTGGACAGTTTCACCTAATTAAACATTGACCAAGTCATTCTTTAGTTTGCTTGGAGACACCACTGAAATCCGCATTTGCCACTAGAAAGTATATGTGATGATTTCCCTAATTCTCGACAAAAAAAATCCCACATCCTGTTCCCAAACATTTGTTAATCCCGCTTCCCGGATTGCAGTCAAATCCCATTTCCCGTTTAATCCCCAACAATCTTTTGGTCAAATCCCGGATCCCGAAAATACCCTTCCAAACTCTGGGGACCTGAATCCACAGTCAATACTCCCTCTCAGTCTTTGTGCCGAAAAAAAAAATCAAATGCCCCGTCCTCCGAGCAAGTGTACACGATCAAACCTTCCCACCCGAGGAAATCAAAAGTCATATCCCCTCCTGTTTCCTTCACTCTCAACCCACCCCACGAGGTTTACATTGAAAGATGCACTTAGGGCTCGGCTATTGTTCCAGTAAATGCTTCAAAAGTTCGGACACGTTTCTTTTGTTGCGGGTTTGTTGCTCGGCAGCTCGGGGACAGAAATCCAATGTATTTTTTAAGGTAAATCGAGATTCCCACCTCCCTCGGAAATGCTTTTAAACTTTGCATTCTCAATTAATTTGCCACGTGGTAACCTCAATCTTGCTGTTTACATTTTTAAACGGGAAAACAAAATGCATGATTACTTTAAAACGACTTAAATAAAGTTAAATTACAATGAAAAGCCTGGTTTGATAAATAAGTAAAAACATATAACCAAGCAATTAAGGTTAATTCGTAAGGGAAAATACAATGTTCCAATTATTTGTTCTTAATTAAGCCACAGTAAAACGGGCAACAAAAAACGTGCTTCCAACCTTATTTGCAACAATAAAAGTTGCAAGTTTTTTTTCCGTGGGTGATAAAACGCTATTGAACTCGCAAAACAAGTTGCACGTTGTTTGTTGTCCGTTTTACCGAGCCTAGAGTAAAACGTTTTCGCACAAGTATAAGAAGCTACCACAAAACAAGCTAAGACTTTTTACCTGGTCTGACGAGAGCAAAGCTGAGTTTCCTCTTTAAAACCAACAAATGATGTAAAACTTGTTACAAAGTTTTTCCCGTAATGATTTAAAAAACATCTTTGCTTCCTCGTTGTCTTCAGCTTGCTCTGATCCTGCGCCTTTCGACGTACAATTTCCCGCCCAAAAATCGCGGGCTACCACACCATTTCCCGCCAAAAACACGGCACGCATTCCGGCAATGGAATGTCATATTTTGGGTTACTTTACAGGTAGTAGACGGTTGGTCACCTTTGACTGTACGTGCTAAATGTCGTAACTTTCCAAAATTGTACTCATCGATTTACCACTTTTGACTTTGAACATATAAAATTTATGTATGTCACCATATTCCCTCTGAATTTTTTTTGTAGAGAAGTCATTTTCTACCGCCAGTGGCATGTCCTCGCGTGCGGGAGGCACTCGCGTGGAAATCACAGAGATTGTGTGAACGTATACCCTGTATACCAGGTCTGAATTGTCCGAGCGCAGTTTGACTAAAATTTCCGAATATCATTTATATCATATATCATTTATGTATGTCACCAATTCCGTCTGAAATGTTTTTTTTTTTCAGAGAAGTCATTTTCTACCGCACGTGGCGTCTCCTCCAGGGAGGCACTCGCGTGGAAATCACAGCGATTGTACCGATGTATACCAGATCAGAATCGTCTGAGCGCAGTTTCACTAATATTTCCGAATTTCCTCTACGTCCAAAAAGAAGGAAAAAATATCAAACAGGCGAGATGCTTTAGAGACCAGAAGATTAATCACGATCTTCCTTATCGCGCGCCCTCATTCTTTTTCACTATTTGAAGTCAATATTCAAAGACTTGTCAGTCGAAGGAACGTCCTTTCTGGTTAAAGTAGATTTTTCTGTTAGCGCCCTAAAATAGGTTTGGCTTTCAAAGCATGAGAGAGGAATTAAGGAAGTCCAAGAGTTGGGAAGTCAGTCTTCATCAAGAGCGGGTTGGTGGTCAATGGATTGGGTCTTCGTATAAAGGCGTTGTAAACAGCATAAACAATTAAGTTCCTTATTATAAAGATTTATTTAAACCCAACTTGTAAAGACATTTTCAAGTCTTCTATCCTTTCTTGTCGAGAAGAATAAGTTATTGAGGTAAGTTGTTGCTTGCTGTTCGTCACCCTATCTATCACTGATGATTTGTTTTCTTTCCTTTTCTCAAGACGATTAGGGTTATTACTATGCTACAGTCCTTTACAAATTCCACCTAGACGGAATACTACTTTTTTCTGCTCTGAGTTTTTCTATTCATTCCGACCTGTTGTAATCGGCGCTCCACGCAGAGTTTTTTGACTAAGCAGATTGCAGTTCGTCCATTTGCCTAGTCAGGCCAGTAAATGACGTTAAAGTTCGGTATCCGCAATAAACATAGCACACGTCTCTGATAACCAAGCAATACCTTCTCAAGTCACATATCACTAAAAGTGATCAGGTTATTTTCTAGTTCTCTCATAGAAAAGCATATAAGCACTGCTTAACAAGACTTGATCACGTGACGCAGCCTCTACCAGTTCATCGGAAGCGTAAAGCCATTTCGACGCATGCTCCGTTTCAAACCGTCGATAAGTAATGTAATGTCCATCGTCGACAGTTCCCATATGAACAATAACAGCCATTAGCTTGTATACTGCTCGGCTGGTACTGTAAAATAAAATGAAACAGATATAAAAAAACATTAGGGGGAAAAACAATCTGCAATGGGTAGAATTGATGGATCAACATTAAATTTCCTCATCAAATCAGGACAGAAAAACCAAATCAATTTGTTAAAGAGGCAGCAAGAATGGAAATTGCTACCGCCATTCTAACGGCTACTAGTGCAACACCCTTGAAAACTCCTCGCTAAAATATAAATTTCTATGTGAGACCATATTTCTCGGTTGTACTGTTTAAGCTCTGAACGAAAGTTCGTGTTTTATATCGAAATCCCAGAGACAAAGAAGATAAATTTATATTTTTTTTACTTTATAGTGTTCTCTACTCTTAAAAAGAAACCATTTTCCACGCATACTTATAAACCACTTCGAGTCACCTTAGTACTACTCTACCACTTCAATAAAACAAGGCATCAAACAATCGGAAAACATACCAGAAAATACCGTGTGGCCCTAGAGGGGTGCACCCGGCTCCAGGCAACGTTATTTACGGCCGAATTATCGATTACAAACGGATAATCTTTGAGTTACCTTTTCGATTTAACCTTAGGTTCGCGGTAGCTATAAAACATTACTTATGACACAAGAAAATGCAGATGATTGTAGTCATCAAATGAATTTCAGGCACATTTCACAAAAAAGGGCGTATGTCTGTATCTCTTAAAACCCGCGCACTTCTTTAAGATATATGACAAAGAAAAAGAAATGTGGAACAAAAACAATCGACACCTTTCGGATGTGGCCACCGGTTTATTTCTACCAAGACCAAGTGCACAATGCTTAACCTCCGTATAAGCTCTGACAGACAAAACCCACAAACGCAACACGCCTATACTGTTTACAGTTTCACTACAAAATTGAATACATTTGAAACTGGTTTAAAGAGTCTTTCTTTCACTGTGCAGTGAGATTCTTTTGCTTTGGATTTAACCTCGACGACCTCCACCCGTCCCATGAAGAGGGACGGGTGGAAGGGAGGCCTGGGAATAAGACTGGGATCAGAATTGTGTTAAGAAAACCATTCCGATATTTTGTGACCGTTATCATATACAGAAAGCTAAATGCGTGGAATACCTCTAACAGTTAAAGGAACTGAAGCCACAGGGACATTACTGTTTTAGCTCAATTCTGGGATAAATTTAGGTTTCTGGGAAACTAACTACACCTACCCCTTCCCTAAGGCAACATTAAAGCTTACTTCTCCTTTGGGGCAAAATGTTGGCTTAGGGGAGGGGTACGTGGGCAGTTTCCCAGAAACCTAATTGATCCCAATTCTGTGCTAAAATAATTACTAAGTGCATTTACCCATACACAAAATGCCCTTAGAGACAAGAAGGTAACACGCAAATTTCACCAGGGAATAATTCTTGCAGGCATAGCATGAAATCCACGTTTATCCTTGCCATCCATTGTGACAGACGACAGGAGACAGCTTCTTCTTAAATAACAAAACTTGGCCATTATTTTTGGGAATTCAATTGATGCAAAGAACGATTTTAGCTTTTTAAAAAGATAGAAAGTAGGGTGACATAACCCCTTTAACCCTTTAAGGCCCTAAGAGTGATCAGCATCAAATTTCTCCTTGCAATATCAATGCTTTGTAAAACAGAGTGGTCATGAGAATTAAGGACATGATCACATAAGATGAATTTGCTTGATATTTTATCAACTTTTCCCCACTTCTTCTGTATGAAATGAATAAGGGCAACGATTATTATTAAGGGTTTCAAGGGTTAAGCTTCTGTAATAGCCGTAGTAACCACAAAAACGTTTCACGCTCACCTCTTGTTGCCTGCAGCGACAAACGAGCCAACCAGTTCATCAAGATACCCATTTAAATCTCCATTTCCAGCTGTTGGTGAAAAAAATCTCCTTTCAGTTCCATTCTGACGAGAGTGCTGTTCTAAAGGCTCGTATAAAAACGGTTCCATGTCAAGGAACTCAGGAAATTTAATGAATGCGTTGTTTTTGTAAGGTATTCCATTAGTATGCCAGTAAGTTCTTTGAATGTGGATGCACAGGCATTGCGGCAACTGAGGAAAAAACAAATCAGACCAGTAAAGAGCTGTATCAACAAGCAAAGGTATAATTCAAATACAGTTGCATGTAACTGTTCCATTACAAGAGGTTAGGGTGCGGGGGTATGATGCAGTGTCCCTACATAAACGAAAATGTTGCAGTGACATGTTGTTTTTAGCATTTTTTTTCCACTGCACAAACAATATACAACTATCCCACGAATGGGAGGTGAAACAGAAGACTGGCAGATATATAACGAGACGTGAAATTTCGAGGTATTTAGCTAGCACTATGCATTGACCTTGTGTTTCTGGGATTTGTCGAATACACTTTCACGACTTTGTCGGAAATTCAATAAGCAAATACCGTATTTATTTGATTAACTGCCCTGGGTGCTTATTAAATTTTTTGGACCGTGAGAGTGGGCACTTATTCGAGGCTGGGCGCTTATTAAATTTTCACCATTTCCAGCAAGAGTATTATGTTTATCAGTGCAACAAAACAATAAATGGTAATAACAAAATGCGAAGATGTAAGAAAGCAAGGTTTCTGTAAAATACTCTATAGAAAACTCCATCTTTGGGGAAAGTCCCCTAATTTAGCAATTAATGAATGAGGCTGAGTAGGATATGAAGAATTAAGCAGATCGAGGAGGGTGTTATCCACTGAGGGCGACATTCAAAAGAATTCCTAGTTTAAAAACATAGCTAAAACATGCTTACCTGCATCGATCTTAAGTTCATCTTCGATAGTGTGCGTTTAGGTTTGTCCAGCTCCGCAAATATTCTCCAAATAGCAGATGTCACCCTCCGAGCTGTCTTCTTGCTGTTTTTTCCATGTTCTTAGCTATTACTTCGCCCAGTTCCAGCTGTAGTTCTTACTCTTGAAACGAGTGAAATGTCCGCCTTTTTTTTTTCACAACCAAAACAACTCAAACTCGACCCCAGGTCTTCTGGGTAACAGTGCCGTAACCTGTAGCGGGCTGCATTTTTGACGTCATTTCCTCATTAAACACAAAATTCTTCCAAATTTTGTCATCAGTAACTGGTTATGGCGAATTATGCGTGTGCTTTTAGCCAATCAGAATTGGGGAAATATTTTGAATGAATAATAAAGTACTTTACTTTAGGGGTGGGCGCTTGTTAACTTTTTCTGCCTTTGGGCAGTTATTTGAGGTGGGTGCTAATTCGAGGTTGGGCGCTTATTCGAATAAATACGGTACTTTTCTACCACTACCATCATGAAGCACCGACAAATCAAGTTTCGCCTGATCAATTTCTTGGCATTTTTTGGTACAGCTTGTCGCTAAAATGATGTCTTCTGCACATCAAGAGACTTTACCTTGTAACCTTGTGCCCTGACACGTTACCCCTAATGTATTCTAAATCACCTTATAGTGTGTACTTGAGACCACCAACACCTTAAGCATCGGATAAACAGTACCATATTGTGTCAAATATTGCACGCAATATTACAGTGCTCAGTATAATCAGCTACTAGTACTTCTATATCATTACCTTTTGAAGTCAGTAAAACGTAAAAAAGCCCAGTTAGGGGCCAAGTGTGTCAGCTCATTTTGTCACTGATTGTAGGTTCGCAGGATGCGATTTTCGGGCACACTGGTGAATTGGAATTAAGTTTGACTATCCTGTGTAGAGCCACACCCTCCCCTCAAACTTTTGGGATGGCTGAACACAGACTATCTTAACTAAGTGCTTACTTTTCCCAGCGTAAGTCGTTTGATAAAGCTGGTCCTCACAGAGCCACTTGACTGTACTGAGTTACGCTCCTTGCAACCATTACATTCAACAGAGTCCACGATCTCTGAGCAGACAAATGTGCGAAGAAGATCCTCTAATGACAACCCAACCTGAAGAGGAAAGCCCAGACAATGAGATATGTTTAGTATTATTTAAAAAGCAATTTTTATGTGAACATAAAAATGACTACATGCAACTTTAAATAGAAAGAAAAGAAACTGAAATAGAGGTAATTAAAATTAGTTTAGTGAACGCGCATAACAAAACAAACGAAATGAGAGCTAACATAAGCAGTTGTCTGTGGCAGATTTCTCTTTATAAGTCGCCCACTGGCAAACTCACCGTCAACTAACTCACTCTGAACTCTCTTTCGTAGGAAATGAGTTCTTTAAGTGTGGCGTGAAAAAAATGTGTATCTTTCTCGTTCTATAAAAGCGTAATTTGATAAAGGCCATCAATCAGTGTCTAGGAGGGAGGTTTTCTATGGGAGAGTTTGTAGCCTTTCTCCCTCTCCCCTACCCCCTTACGACGCCTGCTACGCAGGCTAGAAAGTTTGTTGAGGGCGAGTTTACTCTTTCCATGTACGTTTGGTGCAAATAGTCGGTACAAAATAATAGTCCTACTATAAGTAAATCGACACTATCGCCTGATGAAGACCTGCAGTTCGTGGTCGAAACGTTGTGATCAATATCTAAGTACATGTAACAATCTTGAGATAAACGATAAATGAAACCCTTCATACACATTATCCACAATGAACATTACCTGTCAAGACAAGTTTGGTGCTATATTTCAAAAGTCAATTGCAAAGTGCATACTTTATTTGAGTTGGATGGTCAAGGCAAGTTTCAAGAAAAAGTGCATTAAGTAAATCAAATTGAAAATACCTGAAATGTTGATGGTAAACTGAGTGATAAACTGTCATAGCTATCAAACTTGACTGGACACTGCATGATACAAGAAACAAAGGTTAGATATTCCCCTTACAGCAGATCCCTCTCTGCCTTCTTTGGGGAGTGAGCATGGGTGGAGATTTGATGACAGCACCCTGTCCCACCAGAAGCATGCTTCTGGTCCCACCCATGTGGCCCAGTTTGAATTCTGGACCCAATGCCAAGTTTTTTTAGTCTGTTTCAGGCTCTGAGATAGTCAGGTCTGCAAAATTGAGAAAGCATGAACACGCCCCTTTTTCCCAGATCACACACTCCTATTTTCAAGTGCCTTTTACTTACACAACACATCTACTATCTAGGACCTTGGAACAGGCTTTGTTTTTTTTTCTCTCAGATACTCGGGCTTGTGTTTACGTTTATTCAAATACACATTGTAGTTAATTTTTCATCTCAGGTAATTTTTATTTTTCTTTTGTTTCAACATCATTAGCATACATTACCAGACCCAAAAACAATAGAAAAACAAAATTACCTGAGCTAAAAAGTTAACTACAAGCTATACACAAAACCATAGCCATCACATGGTATCTCCTTGAAAATCAACATTTTGTAACATGTTGTTTTTTTTTTCTGATGGGAGAATTAAGCTCCATGGTTGAGAGAGAGAGGTGCCATACTACCACACAGGATCTAAATGTAAAAGATTTGTATTTCATTCAGGAACACATTGTTTAATAGCTGGTGTTGACTCATTCAGTGACTGTCTGTCTTAGTACTGGTAGACCTCACAGCTTTTCTTGCAATGCCAATTGTCATACATGAGTTGTAGCCAATAGTATTTGGACAAATCAATTATCTGAACCAAAGAAGGAAATTTTCAACATGCTGATCTTCACACCTCTATAAATTAGACCTCAATTTATATCCCAAGAGCTTTACTCTAGCATCAAGTGAAAACACCTTCATGATTTGCTTTACAAACACAAAGCTTAGCAATAATTTTTAACAAGAGAAGATTCTTCTTTCTCCCTGATATATCTCGCCAAGCAATTTCCAGGATCAAATCTGACCAGGAAGATATATGGTAGGTAGAGTACCACCTTTAGAGTTGACTGTGCTGTGAAAAGTAAGATGGGGGGGTTGAAAAGGGGGGGGGGGGGGAGTCAGTGCTCCTTCACCTCTTTCCGGTATGTTTGTGTCAGGGGCCCCACCTTTGGACGAGGTGACTTACATAGAAGGAGTATGTCATGTACGCGGAGGAAGTGAGGGGGTGTGAGGTGTGGAAAAATGGTGACAGGGTAGGAATAGGAGTGTGTCGTAGGTGGGGGTGAGTGGGGGAGGGGGGGAAAGAGGTGTGTAGTGGTGTGTGGGGGGGGGGGGGGGTGTAGTCATGCCTCCTTCACCTCTTACAGGTATGTTTGTGTCAGGGGCCCATACTCTGGAGCAGGTAACTTACATAGAAGGCATATTACATGGCATTTTCATTGAACGCTTTACCTTTAGATACATTTAAGAACGCTTAAGCCTGCTAAAATGGAAGCTCCACTTGGTCTCTTTGCATTTGAAGTATAAGCTACCAAAAGAAAACTAATCGTCATAAGAAAGTCAAAATACCATTTTACATTTTAGGTCTGTAGGTTTTTCTGACTGGTTTGTGGTACTTAAAAGACAGTCTAAATTTGTGCCAAAGTTGTTCTAAAAATAATCAATTCTGGCCTTTGAAAGGAGTATATGGAAGTTGTTCACTCTGGGTTACAGAGTCCTGTTTGTGTCAACCTACCTTTGTTCCACATTGTTTACACACCAACTGACTTGCTAATAAACCATGGAATGGCAAATGAGGCTTGTTACAGTCTCTTCTTAGAGGAACTACAAAAAGAATGCAATCAACGTTAACAGTTTAACAGAAATGTTAGGAGGGGTTACAATTATTTTCACTTCACAATTAATTTAGCCTGCGAAAACATCTGTTTCTCCCGCTCTTCATCGCTGAGGACATTTCGCGCGGAGGAACGTCTGCGACTCAGCGACAGAAATTCCATACTGATGACGTAAAATCTGTCCAGGATCCGGTCAGAAGCACTGATTGGTCGACGGAGCAGTTACATTGTTTTAGCTATTGTTTACAAATGACAGACAAAAGACAAAAGGCCAAAAAGGTCAAATGTAAACACAAAGAATCTCTAACAATACAGTCAATATTTGTGCAATATAGTCTTCTCTAGAAGAAGCATTTGAGTTTTGCTTGAGCTCGTGGGCAGATCAATACAACACTTTCCCAAAATCGACCAGAAGACACGCAAAATTAAACAAATTTATATTTGGAACCACATGACTACCAGATTTATTATGTAAACATTGATTTGTGTCATCAGTATGGAATTTCCGTCACTGAGTCGCAGACGTTCCTTCGCACGAAACGTCATCAGCGACGAAGAGCGAGGAGAAACGGATGTTTTCGCAGGCTACAATTAATTATTTTTACTAACCTATAAGTATTCATCTGAGATGCATATTTACATTTTTTCAGTTAAAGATATAACTTACTTAGGGCCTGTTTACATGGGGGTGGGGGACTCCAGATAGGTGAGGTAACATGTGGTTGGTCACCTCACCTATCATGTAAATATGATCAAATTAAAATGAGAGATTATATGTACAGGCGGGTTACCACACCTAAGCGGGTTACCTCACCTGCCTGGGGTCCCCCAACCTCCATGTAAACAGCCATTAACGTTTGTACTAAAGCACAGAAGAGATTTTGAGAAGTTTATCTAAATTACTTCCATCCATATCAAGTGAGTACCTTTGTTTCTGTGGACCATTGATTTGTCTTCATTGACATCATTCTTCTGCAAAAGGATTAGATATTCGGATGTATAAAGGTGAATATAATTCCCTTGACATTCAAACAGGCTTCAAGAAGAAAACATCAACATTTCTTGTCATTTTTCTTCCTTTTTATTTTGTTTATTGTATTTTAGCCTGTTCACAGACACTATAGTTTTTCCACCATGAATATGAAGTTAAAAACTGCAAGGAAATGACTGACCACCCACAGCCACAATTAGCTTTTGCTATTGGCAATGAACCCTTCCATGGTTTTTTCATTGTTTTGATTGGATCAGCTTAGGTTTCTGGGAAACTACCCACCTACCCCTCCCCTAAACTAAAATGAACACTCACTTCTCACTTAGGGCAAAATGATGGCTTAGTTTCCCAGAAACCTAAATTGATCCTTTTGATCAAGACCACTTAGCAAAAATCATCAACACTGCTGGAAACAGTGCCTTAAAATTAGGAAACTGCCAGAGTGTTTTATGGATTTTGTAAGGTGGCTCTAACTTTTGAGTCTTAAGACGAAATCCTATGATGTGACCATTCAAATGAAAGCTCTCTGTCTGTACTTACACATGGTACTATTTTTTTTTTCACAATTTTACAAAATGAAATTTGGAAATCTGGTCGAAATTTGCCTTTGGCTACATTTGGCAGTGAAAGGGTTAAAGGTGATCCAGAGCGAGTGAAGATATCACTCCACAAAGATGCCAATTTTTACAGATGTTTATATGGTGGGGGCATGAACTTGCCGCCCACCATACAAACATCTTCATTAGTTTTCAACAGAGTGAGTGCATGTGCATGTGCACTCACAAAATTTGTCAAAAAAGGAAGAAAAAATGTCTGTGAAAAGGCTCATTGTATTTTTAACTTTGAAAAATTGAGCCACTGGTACCTCTACAATTGCAACATCACTGAGATTCATGACACCAGGAAGTTCTCCCTGCAGGAAACAAAAAACAAAGCAGAACTAAGCAAAACTAAGCAAAGTAAGAACACCAAAACCTTACAGAAATTACTTGAACAGAACCAAAAAATGGATCTTTTTTAAGTTTTTCCAAAATTTCTTAACAAAGAAACAAAGTTACAGAATAATTTAAATAACAATAAGCACTCTTCTTACCATTTCATCATCCAGAGTAGATGAGAGGGCATGAAAGAATTCATGAGCATCCTGTAAAAAATTATATTAGGTGAGACGATGTTCAGATTTAAAAATGTTCAGCAGTAAATATTCAAGGATCTAAATTTCAAGTAATACTGAACTTTTTCAGCAGCAGTATTACTTGGAGGGGATGATGAATTTTTTTACAGTCATCATCATCATCATCATCTTTATCATATCATCAATGAAATATGATTATCACATTGACTTACCATCACAATCATCTCAAATATCAATGATTTGATAATCATCAGGGATTCATTGTTTTTTGAACTCAGACTCAATGGTTCTGGACTGGGACTCACAATTTTTGACAAGAGGAGTCCCAGGACTCACCATGACTATTTGTAACAAAATCACTGATCATCGTCACGTCATTTATCATCATTGTCATCATCATCATCATCATCATCATTATCATCACAATCAGTAACCAATATTATCAATCACCACCAGACCATTTATTTATCATCAATAATGACATCCTCAACAGTCTTAAATCATCATGAACATAAATCATCACATTCTAGTCATGATCACCATAAATAATCAGTAACATTCTGCTGTATCACTGTCATCATCAACACCACTGCTATCAATCATTATCATCAAAAAAATATTATTGGCACTGTCAATAATCAGATTTTAATCAAGTAACTATCACCATCATTATCAACAAATTCATCAGTAGTCACTAACATCATCAATCATCACAATCAGTCAATATCGACACCAGCATAAGCATCATTGTCCTCTATTACTAATAAATAAATAACCTCACCATCACGTCTCATCACCAGCACCACTGTCATCAATATTATTGCCAAATCCATCATATCAATCTCTATTACCAAGCCATTATCACTATCATCACTGAAATCATCACCATCACCATCACCATCATCATCCTCCTCCTCCTCATCATCATCATCCACTGTAATCACGGACAGTAAATAACAGTATATGTGCACTGCTCATTTAGAGGCACTGCACCTATCAGTCAGTGGAAGTTCTCTTTTTGAAATGGTAACTATGTTTTTACTAACCTGTTGTTCACTAGGTATGATCCATCCATGGGAGCTTAGGGCTTTTAGCACAGAATCTGGACAAATGACTTCCTCACCTTCCATACAACCATTATTCAAAGCTGGAACATGAAAAAGAAAACTAAAACAAATTAGATAGCTTTCTCAAATGTAGTAACTGGTCAGTGCTTGGTTGGGTCCCAATCTCATGCCCAGATCTCACTCAAGCCTTTAAAGGTTGGTCCTAGAAAACTTTTCAAGTAAACTTGGAACTTACTTCACCACAAAACTGAAACCCACAAAGTGATAAACTAAACAGGCTGACCATCTATACCAGTGGTCACTGCACAGGACAGTGGTTGCACTGAAAGAAACAAATGACTGTACAGCTTTATATTGAATGAGGATCAAGGGGTTCTGGCAGGATAAAATAATAATGGTTGATAAACAGCCACATACCTTTCATTATTTTCTTCAGTTCCATGGCTAAAGATGTAAGAGAATTTCCATCTCCTTCATCAGAAATATCTTGTAACCATGCTGCAAAGGATGGCAAGAATGCGAGGCCCTAAAGAATGGAAAAAAAAAAGCCAAGTATCTTTTAAGCAAATCAGGTCTTTGCATATTGTGTAAAAAATAACACAAAGCATTATTGCTGGTTTGTGGGAGAAACGACTCACAATGTAGAGTGTGTGGCAAACTATCCAAAACTTCTCTTGCAAAGATCTTGCCATTAAATTCACAACAACATAGAAATGTTGTAGGCTGCCCTGCACAATGTTTCAAAAGGAGTAGCCTTAAATTGCAAAATTGCACTAAAATTTTCTGTTTGCATTTTAAACATTACATAAATTATAGCAATACAAGTACAAACCTGTAAAATGGAGTTCATGAAACAAGTGTTACCAAGATTCACCAGGCCAGGAGGGTGATCTGATGATAAGAAAAACAACAATAAAACTGAACAAATTTCATCTGAACTGATTATGTTTTAACACTTTTTAAAGTGCTAGCTAGAGGGACATTAATTTGACTATCTAGACTGCCAACATACTGGAGAAATTGACCAAATTTATTCGAAAACATACTAGCAGTAGCCGTTGGCTAGGAAATGCAGGCAAAGATGTGAATTGGTATTGAATGGAACATTATTTACATGTACACATTCACCAAGAAAATATACATGTGTTTTTTCCAAAAAAATATCCATACTCGCTCACATAATAATACACAATTCTTTGTTCCTCCACTGTCAAACTCAGAAAACCATGAATACATGAAATATTTCTAGAACATCTATTATTTTGTGACAGTTTACAACAAAGATCAGGACATGCAAAACCAAAAACTGATTACTGTTGTTACTTGCAGATTAGTTCATCTCTTGCCTGATTGGCATTTTCCTTGCAACACAATGACACTGCAGAAATATTTCTGGTGTTCGTGCAGCCTAGCCCCTAAACAATCTCAGCTAGGTCAAAACTGGACTTTACCATGACCTGCGAGAGGGGCTTGCCGAGAACATTCTCTCACCCACCCTTTCCCACGCTTTGCACGGAAAATGAGGCCAGAGAGAACACCTTGGGATTAGGCTGGTGTTTACGGTTTTCTGAGTTTTACAATAACACTTAAAGTATAATTAAATTAACTAATAATTAAATATATATCTTAAATATTTGGTGATTATATATGACTGTGAAATATTTCTGTATTTTCTTAAGTTCTGTGCACATGCCAAAACTGCTACACCGCTGCACCCGTCTTGCATGATGACAATTGTGGATAATTTGCAATTTATGATCATTGACGTCTGAATAATTGATTTCATCAATGATGATATACATGTATTACAATCTAAGCATCTTCCAAATTTGGTCAGTGCTGGCTGGTTGTGAAGAATTAGCCAGGGGATAAAAATCAGTCAAAAACGGAGAAATATTTTGAATGAATAATACTATATAATGGCCTTCATTTTCAAAAAGTCTACAAAACCGCATGCAAAGGTGAAAATGAAGAGATCATGATGAGAGGCGTTTTCAACTGAAACTGTAAGCCTGTTGTCTCTCATCAAAGTTGAGGAAGCATCACTCAGAGGGGCAACGCAGGACTATCAAACAATCTAACACTTACCTCTTTTGACTCCCTTCTTTTTCTTTCCATCAGGAGTTAAAAATACATAAAAACTTGCCCCAATCGCTGCTGCTGCAGCAAACACTGTCAAACTGCGACCATCCATGTTGTCTCCGGCTCTGTCACGTCTCACTGATCTTACATAGAGGACTTTCTGAACTTTGAAGAGACAGGACTGGAATCTAATAAATAAACAAAGATGGCGGATGAAAGTGACAAAGAAAAGGCAGAAGGAAAATCATCTGAAAAACCTTTCGTTCCTCGAAGTGCGACGGAAATACAGAAGATGAAGCTTGAAAAGCTTATGAGGGACCCTGTAAGCTATAACACTATCATCCAAATCATGACCTGGAGAAAAGTTTTTATGACTAAAGAATTTTCTAGCTGAGGTGGACAATTTCACTTGTTTTTATGTTGTCAATTGACAGGACAAACCAGTGTCAATTCCTGAACTTCCGAAGCAGTGGAAACCATCAGAAGCCCCCGAATTCGTTCGATTTGTGATGGGTGAGTTTTTGCCGTTATCATCAGTATCGTCGAAGTTATGCATTATACTTAAAGCTTGCATGTATTGAATTAAATAGGTTTGTACATGATGAGTTGACTGTGTCTACATCTCTCTCCACTTCATCTGTGCCACTCTCTCTTCTTCGTGAAAAGAGGAACTGTTGACCTGTAGGAAATACTATGGAGATATTTTAGAAAAAGTTTGTGAAACAAACAGTAGTCTGTGAAGGTTACCTTCTTCTATGACTTAATTATGGTTGCAAGAGGTGAATCTTGCTGAGGCATTGTTGGTTTACAAAGCGGCAGGGGTATTTTGCAGAAGGCTGAATGCCGAATGACTCTGAGTTTAGTGATTGGGGTTAGGAAACTGAGTGAATCAGGTTCCACTAAGGGTCATTATACTGGGAAAATGACCTGAATTCCACTGAATTCCCAGTGAAATGATGTCCGAGCAATGACTGTGGAAATTCCATACTGATGATGTGTCACTACCCAGATCTGGGTAGCGCTTCTGATTGGTCCTGTCGCAAGAGAAATCTGCTTCAACCAATTAGGAAAACTACCCAGATCTAGGTAGATCTGTGAGCATCATCACTATCGACTTTCTGCAGTCGATACCCAGACATTATTTCACAGGGAAACCAGTAGTGATTGTCTGAAATGTCACATGTCTCCACCTTAATTTTGCCAGGATCCAGTGCTGGTGCAGGGAGTGGAGAATTCCATGTTTACCGTTCTACAAGAAGAAGAGAATACAACAGAGTGGCCTACATTGAAAAAATAGCAGAACAAGTATGATCATGGAATCTATCACCCATTTAAAATAGAATGCTATTTTCTTCGTACCGTAATTCTTTTTCCGACTTGCCCATTGTTTCATTGTACAGGGCCTTAGTATAGCTTACCTTTAATACATTTTTGTTTACAATATTAATAACCATTAAGTGACCACCCCAGGTGTACCAGCAAAATTCATGATCTTAAGCAGAAACATCACTTTATTTTGAAACATACGCATGTCAGGAGGGGCATATACTGGGCCATATTCTTCACCTTCTTGGCTGTTTAACAGAGATGACAACAGAAGAAGAACTCTTTTAGACAACATCTTAGTTACTTTTGGGCAAATACGTCATTTTCACGATCCCAACTTAGTCACTTATTTTTATGAATTGACCCATTTTTTGATTGAATGAAGAACATGTCACTCTTCATCTGCAGTACAAACATTCTGGTACGTTTGCTCACTGTAAATATGAAGAACTGTCTTACCCCCAAAAATCTGAAAATGTATGACCCCATTCTAGTAACCCCATTGAAAATGTGACCCCATTATAGTCAATCCAGTCATGAAAATGTGTCCCCATCCAGTGGCACATCCCCATTAGCCTCTTATAAGGAAGTACCCCCTTCCCCCGGGGACAGAGATGGCCACTTAATAGAGGTTTAATTTACAATTATTCTTTTCTACATTATTATTTTGGGACTTTGATAACTGGCTGATTAATGTAGGGTGGCCACTTAATAGGTGGCTGCTTCACAGAGTTTTGACTGTTATAATAATCATTGTTCTTTATCCTCAGTCACTCTTTACATGACAAAAACACAGTCATCTTATTTCTTGTTCACTTAGCATGAACTTGATGAAAGCTATCATAAGAAGCTTGAACAAAATAAAACTCAAGCAGAAGAAAAAACAGCAAAGAAAAGAGCTAAAAGGTATTCTATCATCCAAGTGATTTTAGTTTAGGAGAGGGGCCTGGTAGCCTGAGAAATTCCATACTGTTGATGCAGCATGACCAATCAGAAGCACTACCCAGACCTGGATTGTGACACGTCATCAGTATGGAATTTCTACGCTTGTTTCTCAGACGTCATTTTGTGGGAAAACTGTTGGTGGCATCATGAAATGTTGACTGTTTTCTCAGGCTATCGGCCTGGATGATTTCATATTTATTAACTTCAGTGCTCTTAAACAAAATAATTATTACAGCAGTTGTAAAAAGCTTAACCCATTCACCCCTGAACCGCCCATAACCACCTGTGCGGATCCAGGTCCTTTCTACCGTTTGTGACGTCATCAGATTTAACGGTCAAGGACAACTTTCTTCGCTAACTTGTGCAGAGTGAAGAGATCTTTCAAACCATACCAGAATGAGCACAATTCAGTCAAGGACACCGGAGAAAGAAGCAAAAAACCACGTGACATTGACCTGAAAATCTCCATGAAAATCTTGTTCCATTGCTCACCTACCTTCCTTTCACCTAATCCTAAGATCCTAAAAGCTTTCCTAAAAACTCTTCCCACCAAAATGAAGCCTACTAAATGCCCGAACTTCAAAAGCTGATATTTTGCATCTGGATCAGAAGGCCATGAAGTGTACGACCTGTAAACCGGTTTGTGGCAAGTTTTAGCTCTTTGTAAACCACTCGACTAGCTTCAAAATGCGTTTTTCGACAAAATCTCCAGGAGCGAATGGGTTAATGAAGCTCCCATCCCCCACAAAGTTTTCTTGACACTGCCCCTGTCTTCCACCTTAACCAGACCCCATATGGAGTTGACAACAATGCTTTTCTTCCCACGCATGATAAATATTTCCTGTAAAACAAACTGGTATTTAATGGGGCTTGGTTTACGCCCCTTTTTAAAGGTCAGTCTCTTTCGAGGTCTATCACCAGTAATCACATCAATAAAGCTATCTTAAGGGGGTATGCAAGTCCATTGTTTGAATTTCAAGTATCGAAAAGGAGGCATTGTTCCTGTTGGTATGAAATATATTTACTATTGAATTTTGCTTTTTTTTTTACTGCTGTCAAACCATCTTTGTGTTATTTGTCACCACTTCATCTGTCTTATGTTGTTATACTAAGGCCATGTTACTTGTCAGAATTTTACCCTTAACCCCTTAAGTCCCAAGATCCACATACAAATTCTCCAGACTGATCTCTAAGATCAAATCGTTCTCCCTTTGGTAATCAATTTATCAATTCTCATAACCTTTACTCTTCATGATCTGCTGATGTTGTTAGGAGAAAATTGATGTTGGTCACTCTTTGGACCTATAGGGTTAACAGGGCCTCATAAACAGATCTTCTATGGGTGCCTGAGTCCCATCACTCAAGCCCTGCCTTTGGCACTATCCTTGTTAATGAAATGTGCATGTGCAACCATAATGTTTTAAATTATGTTCTCAGACAAAGAAAGAAACAGAAAAAGCTGAGTGCTAAGAAGAAGAAAGAGGAAAGGAAAGATGATGGTGAGTTGTAATTTCTACTTATTTTAACAGAAGATGAAAAGGGTTTCTATTGCGGATGAAAAAGGAGCTTACTTAATATCAAAGTGGTTGGGATCAGCTGTATGAGTAAATTTTTATGTTGAAAGTAACTGCTTACTTCTTATATTCAACCCAGTTAACCACTGCACCTATATGTCTGGCATTATGTTTTGTGCAAACCTACGGTGTTAACTTACAGTTTCTTTTGTTTTAACCTCAAGATATCGATAAAAAACAAGAAAACAGTGAAAGCGATGATGATGATGAGGAGAATGAGGACGAGGAAGAGCCACACTTCATAGTTGGAGGACAGTAGCCAACAATCAAAAATAATTTATTTGACATTTCCTTGTCATTTGGCTCTGTATTTTAGTGACATAAATGTACACCTGAAGAGACAACTCGAAGATAGTGCATCTGTCCCGCACAAGGTCATGGTCAAACCACAAAGAAGACATCAAGCTAAGCAGTTATCATTTCATATTCAAGATTGATGTGCCATGCACAATTCTAGAAGCTTGTTATGGCCTACAACTCAAGATTTTCCTTCCCCTCAATGAACATTTTAAGAATAATTCTACACAGCTGTTTTATCTTCAGATTGACTTAGATTGTACTGCCATCCTTTAAAAGCATATTTCAATCTACAGCTGTACCTAGGTCTTAATTAATCAGGCTTTTTTGATTTTTGCTGCTCCTGTTGTTTTTGTTCTCTTAAATGACTTGGGTCAGTTATTTAAACAAAGTGTAACTTAGTCTGCCATTTAAGAAATCACAGGACCTCCAGATCTCTTTCTTAGATGGTTAATTTAAGAAAACAAGTGCTTTTCCAGTCTACACTATTATGCTTTATTGAAATAATTATTGTTCAAGATAAATGGTGTTTAGATAAAAGCATTGGGCAAACTGAAAATGGCTTGAAAATTGATAGGGTTAGGACTAGTCTTATAGGTTATGATTTCTATGTTGTATCCTTACAAAATTTGAAGGGATCTTAGTGCTCAGAACCTGTGAAATTCAGGCTGCCTAGCATGTGATTTTAGAAGATTTTCCTCTGTTAATGGTAAAAAAAAGTGCACTGGCTGCCTGTAAGAGGAATTCGAAACTCTCATTCTCTTTACACCCAGGCAGTGCCTTTATGATGGAAATAATGGATAAGAAGACTCTCACCTTGAAGAGCTTTCAATATTGGTCAAATTCTGGAGTACAAGAAAATTCATTATTGCTAGAACTTTCACTTTCTTCTAGCAGGATTTTGGAGCCAAACAAAACTCAGGATACTCATCTAAATATGCATTATAAATAGAGTAGTAGCTAGTAGTGTACAGATTGTACCTAAGCAAGCACGTTCTACAATAAACGCCAATTATCATGACTTGTAACGACCAGATAATGTACCACAAACAATGACAATGATCTGGAGAAAAAGAAAATAAACAATGATATTTTTTACAGAGTTTCCAACAATATTGCTATCTGCTTTGCAGCTGAATCTTGATGAATCATTTCCATTAATCACTTCCACGGTCTAATTTTATCAGTACTGTTATAAACCCTAGCTTTCAACCGATGAGCAAACAAGAAATCACTCACACTTATAATTTGTAAAATAGTTGAATAATTCTTTTTGATTTAATATAACCTCAAAAACTAGTATTTACCAGTTAACCAGCAGAATGAAATATGCCCCTAAAAAAACACAAACAGTAATATGGATCCAGCTGTGCTAAGCGTTTCATTGAAGTTACGAAAAATGCTGTTGTTACAAATTTACTGAAGTTTGACAAATCCTTGCAAATCTTCCAGAAATTTTATATAGTGTTGCTGTTCTAGAGACGTGCTGTAGTCAAGAAGCCACTGGCAAAGGTCATTGTCAACTCCTCTCTCAGCCAACATATTCAAAAGCATCACATACAAGTTCTGTCAAAATAAAAGGATGTAAGTCATAGTTTCTTGTTGTGGATGTTACAGGTCAAAATTATATTCAGGTTAAAATTTTTTAACCTACGTGATTCTCAGTTTCCTTTGTCTCCTAGCCCTAATTATTCATGAATTAGTGCTAGGAAAAAAAGGGAATTGAGAATCAACCTAGGTAAAAAAAATTAACCTGAATTAACTTTTGACCTGTAACATGGATACCACTACTAAGAGATGAGACAGAAAAGAGATTAAAGAATGTCTAATAGCACTTTGCACTAATGATGTCACAATTTCTGGGCCCTGCTGTTACTCAGACATTGAACCTGACCAGCATAAGAGTTTTGTAGGGGAAAATCACTTTCAAAAACATTGTAAAAAATGCTCCCTGCAAATTTTATGAACAATTTTCATGTCTGAAATGCATGTTGCTCATACAAAGCCTTTGAGTAGAATGCAAAGTTTGTCTGAGTCATGCAGGGAATCCAAAGTGACAAAACCTGTTTTTAGTAATAGTGCAAAGCGCTATTTTGGTACAAAATTCTATGGTGTGACCAGTCAAATGAAAGCCTTGTGGTATTACATCTTGTCACAGGCTTGATTTCTGCCCTCTCGCAAGTCTGGTCTTTGATCCTTCCTGAAGATCTCTTACAGGGGATAAAGTGCTGGCTCATTTTCCCAACCAGGGGTTGGTAATAGAGCGTATAAAGAGTTTCAACCCTCATTGAAAGAGCACCTTCTCTTAGTACTGTACATTGTCACCTAAAGAAGATCAAATGACAGGTCTGTTTGGATACCTGACATTCACAAGCATGTACTTACACTATCCATGTTTTCAGTCTCAGCACAGTAGATAGTTTTCTCTTTATCTCTGTTAGGTGAGTCCATAACTGATACATTTATTATATGAACCATTTCTGGTGCAGCTCTTTCGCCTTCAACTTCACCGTCAGATAAATAATCTTCCCCTAGGTCAGAGCTAAACTCACAGTAGAACTTAAGAGTATGGCCCTAAAACATTATGGAAAAGCAAATATAATATTTGAAGACACAGTGAAAAGACCAGCATGTTATGGGGTAATTAAGTTTACTAGATCAAGATTACATCAAAGAAAGGATGACATAACATAAAATCACTAAGCTTCAAGCCTGCGAAAACAGCTGTTTCTCCTTGCGCTTCCACAGGAAAAAATAACAGATTCCCATTTTTGGACATTTTAGGGTATTTAAAGAATACCCACAAAAATCCCAAATTTGGAAGAGTGAGACAAGTCCCAACCAGGGAACTTGGTTGGGAATTGTCACACTTTGCCAAATTTGGGATTTTTATGGATATTCTTTAAATATCCTAAAATATCCAATAATGGGAATCTGTTATTTTTTCCTGTGGTCGCTTCTGAGGACGTTTCGTGAGGAATAACATCTGTGACTCAGCGACAGAAATTCCATACCAACGACAAAAAATCTGCCTAGAATCCAGTCAGAAGTGCTGATTGGTCGACGGAGTACTTGCATTGTTTCAGCTATTGTTTACATATGACAGACAAAAGACAAAAGGCCACGAAGGTCAAATGTAGACGCGATGAATCTCTAAGAAAACAGTCAAAACTAGTGGAATATATTCTTCTCTAGAAGAAGCATTTGAGTTTTGCTGGAGCTCGTTCAAAGATGACCACAACACTTTAGTAAAATCGACCAGGAGGAATTCAACAAATTTGGCTGTGGAACCCCATGACTACCAGATATATCATGCAAACATTGATTTACGTCATCAGTATGGAATTTCTGTCGCTGAGTCATAGACGTTGCTCAGCGCCAAATGTCCCCAGCAGTGAAGAGCAAGGAGAGACACCTATTTTCGCAGGCTACTAAGCTTCCTGTACTTTTCTAAAAGCTCATAAAGATAAATAAATAAAAAATAAAATTTATTGAATAAAATGTGGCAAAGGCAAAGATTGTAATTTCATTCAGCAGACTTACACGTAATTCAACAGAGACTTTTTAAACATTGTAATACCACCAAACAAATGTCTACTACTTACAGTTTTCTTTGTGATTTCCACAGTAAATGATGGATATGACACAATCTGATAATAAACAAAAAAGACGAGGATTCTTTGATCGAAAAACATGCAGTTTTATAAGCTCCTACACAAGTAGCATAATAAATTATTAAAAAAAGACTAGGGAACATATTTTCAAGAGAATGCATGCACCACAACAAAATAAGGACAACAGAAAACCTAGCCTGCGTAGCAAGTGTTTCCGTTTGGTTACAGAACAAAGAAAGACCAAGGAACGGGATTTTTGGTTTTGGCTATGCGAGAAATGAAACAAGAGTCATTTTTTGCGTGGTCTTTGACTCTTTTTCCGGCACGGAAACTCTTGCTACACAGACTATAGAGAAAACCTTATTTTCTTATCAATTTGGTTTATACTGACACAAGTTAATGTTATTCAATAAACCGATATTGTGATAATTGATCACAGGTGACATTCTCTATCAACAAAGCAATCCTTTCCTTCGATTAGAAAATACGTACTTGTCAAGATAAAATAATTTTACGTATTCAAGCTTTTGAAACAAGTTGATCAAGTGACTACCAACTTCTTTCTGATTTGTTGGCTAGATAAATGTACCCTTAGTCTGTTAAAAGTCCTATTTTTCCTAAGGCTGTAAAGATTGAACTTACGGTAGGACCCCGGTAACTCGAACTCTGAGGGGAAACAAAAAACAGTTTGAGATAGCCGGGATTCAAGTTATCAGGGTCGATTGAATCTTCATTTTTTCCTATCTCAATATTGATAGTTTACTGACATTTCAGCACTTCAGTATACAGCAGAGTGCAAATAAACTTATCTCATCAGAAATTGTAAGAGGATTATGCATTTTTACTAATTGCTACAGTGTGTTAGTTTTAGGTGTTTTACTGATTACATGACAAGAAAAGCTAATAGAATGGCATTTGTGGTAAGTTGCAAGAACCAGAATATGAGTTATTCAGGTAAATTTTAATCAAGGGAAACAAAATTTGGTTCACGTTAGTGGGGAATTCAAGGTATCCAAGTTTGAGTTTTTGGAGTAAAAGTGACTGAAAAGTAGGGTCAAATCCAGGGGAAATGAGACTTAGTTCGAGTTACTGGGGTCCTACTGTAACATTTCAGGTCTACCTAGGACGGGACAGGTTGGGAGGAGGTGAAGAAAACATTTTTCTAGCCACTCCCTCCCCAAAGGCTTTAAAAAAACTGACACCCACCCCTCAATACATGAAACCAAGACGCCTGGTAGCTTGTTACAACAAGCACTTGACCTCAACAATCTTAACAAGAAAAAATAGGGGACTTTAACCCATTCGCTCCTGGAGATTTTGCTGAAAAACGCGTTTTGAAGCTAGTCGCGTGGTTTTCTGGTCACTGCCGTGCTATAGAGAGCTAAAACTTACCACAAACCGGTTTACAGGACGTGCACTTCACAGCCTTCTGATCCAGATGCAAAATATCAGCTTGCGAAGTTCGGGCATGCGCAGAAAGCAAAATTTCTAGATAGTTTTTGGGTTTAAAAGTGACACAGCAGTCTTGACTTTTACTTTTCGCTTTTTCTTGCCTCATTTTTTTTTCTCTTGCTGGGCATTTAGTAGGCTTCGTTTCGGTGGGAAGAGTTTTTAGGAAAGCTTTTAGGATTTTAGGATTAGGTGAAAGGAAAGGTAGGTGAGCAATGGAACAAGATTTTCATGGAGATTTTCAGGTCAATGACACATGGTTTTTTGCTTCTTTCTCCCGTGTCCTTGACTGAATTGTACTCATTCTGGTATGGTTTAAAAGATCTCTTCACTTGACCTTTAAAACTGATGACGTCACAAAGGGTAGAAAGGACGTGGATCCGCACAGGCAGTTACAGGCGGTTCAGGGGCGAATGGGTTAAACAGTCTAATTTTTCTTTTTGATTTGTGTGTGTGAATATTGTATTGCGTGGGTTGAAAATCACTCATCAGTAAACTAATACAATTTAACCTTTCCTAAGAAAGCTTCCTCATCGTCACTACCAGCATCAACATCTGCACCTCCTTCATCTTGGTTTATGTTCTCATTCAGATCAAATGACAAAACAATCCTAGTAAATCAAATCAAATAATTTGGCAAAGACATGCATCAGCCCTTACAGACTGTTTGTGTTAGCACTAAAATAAGGGGGGAAGGTGCCTCACATCAGCAGCTTTGAAGGTGGTTTTAATGATTTGCCTAGTAAAAACATATTCTGGAAAAAAACATTCCTTGTGAGAGGTTGGCACATTTTGGTCTTCAGGGGAAAATTATTATTAATGGTAATTCATTAACAGGGTTGTTACAAAGGGCTGGGATTCCTGTGTCCTATGAGCATAATTCCTGGTTAGTTTCATTAGGAACAAAAGGAAAATAGACCCTTAAGAAATTCCTAGCTGTTTAATTCTCTGCCTACAGATATACCTAACAACTTCAAATCTTAGCAACAGCTCTGTTCAGGACAATGAATTTTTGTCTACTTCAAGACTAGCCAGATAGAAATAGTTACAGTCAATGACAATACCAGAAAAAATATCTTTTTCTGAGTTTATAGCTCCATAGACATTCCTACTTCAAAAATCACACATGAGAGAAATCTTGAAAATATTACTGAGGTAACTGTCTTAGTTACTTCTTTACTGGATATGGGCATTTGTGATAGCCTTGAACAACACTAGTTGAGACAACAACTGAGACAACATTGAACGTGGGTGGGTGGGTTGGGGGGGGGCAACTTTTCTGGTTGGATGACACTGTAGTATTCTGTATAGTTCAAGAGATAAATGGGAATGTCTTGAGAGTTTTGTCTGAGTAGAAGTATCTGATGAAACATAACATAACTAAGGGATGAAATATTCTTTGAATTAATGAATAAAATAATGGAAATCATATACAGTGGAACCTGGCGAATACAGACACAATGGTACATGCCACATTGTCCGTATTATATGGGTGTCAGTATTAAGCAGCTCTAGGGGCACATTTTTTTTAGGAAAAGTTGTTTAATTTCTTATCTGTAACTTTAACGAGCTCAACCTAAAGAACCTCATGATCATTTATCAGTCTCAGACTAAAACTACTTTTCAAGTATAGTCGACTCCTGATAACTTGAACCTTCTATGGAAATCAAAAAAACTTCAAGTTATCAGGAGTTTGAGTTATTGGGAATTTGAAGCAAATTACGGAAAATAAGGAAATAAGCAAATGGATAGGGAGGAAACACAAGTATTAAGTAGCAAGTTAATTGGGCCCACCTTTCACCATTGTGTTCTCTTTCCATTGAAACTTGAGTGCCATCTACCTTTGTCTGTGAATATTCAAAAAATGGGACATTTGTTTCAACATTGTACAGCTGTAGAGTGCAGTTCTGCTTCGAATCTTTAATGCTGTCTTACCTCAAATAATGTTGAAGGTGACACTTTCGATGCATTATCTCTTTCATGTTGTATTTCTTGTTTGAGGAAATTCATTAGTTCACTGTCAGCTGCAAAATTTGGAAAAATGGACAATGGTTTCAGTCCTTTTCAGAGGTAGATTTTTGGTAACTCGTCAAAAAGTCACTTCCCCTTTTCAAATTACAGTGGAACCTTGATAAAACGAACCTCTATATAACGAAGTCCTTGGTATAATGAACGATTTTCTTTATTCCAGTAATAGAAAAATATATGAAAAGGAACCTCAAAATAACGAAACCTCATTATAGCAAACTAATTTTGCCAGTCCCTTGCCCCTTTGTTACATCGAGGTTCCACTGTACATTGCCCATTCCCCATAGTTGTGTCACTAGAACATTGCACCTTGACAAGTAACCACAATGCCAAATAGCAGGTGTACAAGGCAGTAACTTCAAAGCCATATGGGAGAAAAGCTTCAAACAATATTTTGAGTGGTCTTACACTGTACTGCACAAAAAATGAATAAGGTAAAGTGAACTTTTAGAAATACTACAGGAATATCTGTATAGAATCAATGGAGCTGTATATATGAAATATTTTGTGCCTTTAATTCCAGTATATATTCAGGCTTTAGTCTATTACAGCAGTTACCACTAACATGTGCCCTCAGAAAGGGTTTTTTTTTTTTCTCTATTGAAACCAGTTTTTGTGGAGGTCAATCAACTGTCTCCATGGTTTTCTCACGCACTCTGACAGAAAGAGTTCACTCATCACTGAATGAAGGGCGAAGACTCACAAGAATAACAAAAAATTTTGCATGACGACAGCGTTTTTATCATTTCATTATGATGAAAGATTACATTGTTAAAACAACAAGGTCTCTGCGAGCTGAGTGAAATAGCCAAAACACTCTCTATAGTTTACGTAAAGGTTTTCAGGTTGTTTATTTATTTGTATGAAAACACAGGAGCCGTGGACGTCGAATTGCCAAGGAGTAGAAATTCAAAGAAATGAAAGATATCACACTGACAAGGGAAAAAAGTTTCCTCTGAATGGAGGCTGTTTTCGGAAATGAATTTTGTAACCTGCAGATCTACTTATCATTTTAATGTTATCGAATAGAAATCAGAACTAGCAAGAACTCAGATGAGTTGTGAGCGTATTGAGTAAGCCTTACAGTGTGTAAATAAGTCCATAATTTGAGTTTCCTCCGACAAACTCTTAACAAATTCATATCCCTCGTAATCTTGAGATGATATGGTGTAAGATCCTGTAACAAAATATCGCAAAAACCGTTTAAATGCTGACATTTTCCTTCGAGTGCTCGAGAAACAGGGAAAGAATCTTTTCTTGTCCAATGCGTTAAACCCGTGGTGATGTTTGATTGACGTCCACCAAACCGCAGGTTTGAGCTGAAGAAAAAACCCTTTGACGGCACGTGTTAGTGGTAACCACTGTAATTTTCTGTTAGTATATGCATCAACTACGATGGCAACTATTTCTCCATAAAGCAAATTGTCTGTTTTCTTTTTATACAATCAAGACAATACTTTATTTTGCAATGCAATACCATCATGCTGCAAGATAAATTGCCAATCAGTCATCGGATAACTAAGCCACAAGATGCCACAGGAAAAAGTTCATGGTTTTCAGCTAGCTCATGTGTCCTGATCTCTAATAAGATTGGTCGAATCAATATGCAGAAAATATTTTGAGGCATTCATAGTTTTCTTAAATTGTTAGAAAACCTGGGCAGCATTTCAGGAAGAACACTGTCCACGTCTCTGGATTCTCACAAGTAGTATGCACCCCTCACTATCTATCCAACCCCCCAACATCCATTTTCTCCCATGTCAGCCTAGACAGCATCCGCCGGCTGTTCAGAGAACAGAATAATGCACCATGATTTCTCGGAAAATAAGAACAAACGCCACAAAAATTGCTATAGAACCAACCTTGAGTGTATTTATGCACTTCACAAGCACAAACTTTGGTACAAGCACATGGAATGGCATATCTAAGATTCTGTGAAGCACCACGTGTTGTTGCTGCAAAGATAGACCTTGCTCGACAGGAACTTTGGAAGGTATTCGCCACGTTTTTACTGGATAACACTCTAGCAGTTCTTCTGGAAAATAATCTAACAAGTCCAGTGAAAGTCGACATGCTGTTTTTATGAATAAGATGAAACTTTTTTGACAAACTCCAGGGGAAATGTTGAAGAAAGCTGAGGTAAAAGGCTTGGAAGCAAAGCATGATTAGGTAGCCACGCCTCATGTAGTGTGGGACCTCGGGCCTCGGGTTTCCTCGCGTCCCGGGCGCCAAATTTCTTTCCGCATTGGCAGAGAGACAAGCCCTCCGACTTCCGCCAATTAAGTAAAACGTTTTATTTTGGCATGCTCAAAGAAGAAATAATTCATCCACTCAAAAGGAATTCTGAAAACTGCGTGACAACAATTGAAATAACTGGAAGTACATAAATAGATGCAAAGAAAACTCGGTGTAATTCCCAAATTTATATTTCATTCGGTTTGCGGAATCTTTTGACCACCGAAAGCTAGATTTTCCCATAATTTGTTTCTTTACCTTTTAAAAAAAAATTCCATAACTAAAAAAAATTCACTTTCCACATTCCTTACTTTTCTCAAAGTCCAGTCCAATATTTATTTTGCGCAATTTGTGAATTCTTGCATAGCAATATTCATGCCGTTGACGTCACAGATTGTGAAAAAACCGCCGCCAGCGGAGTTTCTCTTAGGGCGCCATCTTTATATTGAACTCCGTAGTTTGTAGAATCTTGAACCATCGAGTCTACTATCCAATCTCTTGCGAAATATTTCTGAACATATTAGCCACATTAAACTTAGAAGAATCTTTATAGGTTATGGCTGATGCTGAAAAGCTCAATGTTGACAGCATTATAGCTCGACTTTTGGAAGGTTAGTTTCGCTTCGGCTGTTGGGTTCGGTCAATCAGAAGTTATCTGAGGACAGTTTTAACGCCGTTTCTTGTTTTTCAGTGCGAGGTTCAAGACCAGGGAAGAACGTTCAACTCACAGAGGCAGAGATCCGAGGGCTATGTATAAAATCCAGAGAGATTTTTCTGAGCCAACCCATCCTTCTAGAACTCGAAGCTCCTCTCAAAATTTGCGGTGAGTACGCCTACAAAATGCCGGTGTTCCCGTCGTGAGCTTCTATTCTGCGTATTTGCGTGCATTTCGGACAAAATTTTATCCTTTATATTTGATTTGTTGTAGGAGACATCCATGGGCAATACTATGATCTGCTACGGTTGTTTGAGTATGGCGGTTTTCCACCCGAGTCGAACTATCTCTTCCTTGGTGATTATGTGGACCGTGGAAAACAGTCGTTGGAAACAATATGCCTGCTTTTAGCTTATAAAATCAAGTACCCCGAGAACTTCTTTCTCCTTCGTGGAAATCACGAGTGTGCGAGTATTAATCGTATTTATGGATTTTACGACGAATGTAAGTAAACATATTTGAATCGCTGGAAATTCAATTGAATTGCTGATCGTTGCGTTCGCTTGCACGAGTTTCACGTTCAGAGCATTACGTTTTGTAGTTAAAATTTTCGGTATTTTTTTCTTACAGGTAAAAGAAGGTACAACATAAAGTTGTGGAAAACGTTCACAGATTGCTTCAACTGTCTCCCTGTGGCTGCGATCTTGGACGAGAAAATATTCTGCTGTCATGGAGGTGAGTTCTATTAAAGGTTTGAAACCGTTTTTTTTGTCAACAGTAACTTCTTGTCTTTGTTTAACGAATACTCCAATTGGAGAGCGCACGTGAAAGAGTAGAGAAGTAACTAGAAGCGAAAGTGGTATTTAGAAATTTTTGTTGATTTATTTGCAGGCTTATCTCCCGATTTACAATCCATGGAACAAATTCGGCGGATAATGCGACCGACTGATGTCCCCGATCAAGGTAAGCCGATTTAAATGTCGCAAAAAACCCGGCATAGATACATTTTAGAGCTAGGTAGCTAACAGGAACGTGTTGCTGTAAACATTTCCGCTTGAATTCCAGTGACCTATATCGGTATGTAGGTTACGTACTTTGAACTGTATTAAAACTGCAGCAGACTTTGTTGTTTAATTGCCACAGTCAATATATTTATTTTATGTGTTTATCGCTTTAGTGATTGAAGAAGTGATGGAAAATTACACATTTTAAGTCTAAAGGTTTCGAGTTCTTTAATCGAGTTCTGGTTTTGCTCGAAATTAACTAGATTTGCCATCATTGTTTTGGACGAATCTGAATTATTAATGATTAGTTGAAGACTTCTTGAATTGCTGTTTTTCATATTTAATATTTTAAAAAACGATTGGAAAATCATGTCATTTGGTCGATTCAATTTTTTTTAATTGACTCAAGCTACCGAGCAAAAAAATACCAACAATTTTTCAAGCATGACCAATAATATTTTGACGTGGCTGACGTGACGTTGTGATTTAATATTTTATCACACTATTTTTCATACTAGTTTTTAGTTAAGTTGAATTATTGTGAGCTGCCAGTTGATGGAAGTTAATGATAATGGGAATAGCTGCATGAATCAACCTTAAAGTGCGATGAAAACTAGATTAAATTGTCAAGAACACTTCTTTTTGGAGGAGATTGCATAATGACAACTACCTGACAAAAGGGATTAGCTCCATTAGAAAATAAATGCGCTGCTGCATTATCTAGGAATTATACTTTAAAAAACAAGTTTTATCCATGAGATTTGTATAAGTCTCTGCTGCGGCATATGGTTACTTTGTGCAGTAGTATATTACTGGTAACACGAGATGAATAGTTTTATCAGATTTGCAAAAGCAAGGATGTGGGTTCAAAAACAAAGCAAAGCTTGGTTTTCTAAACCTGATTAAGTCTTATGGATATCAGATTAAACACCATCTTAAGTATTTCTGAAATTAATGATCTGTCTTGATGATATTCACATCATGTAAGTGTTCTGGCAATTAGGGTGGCATTTCCAAACTTTTCTAGTGAAATGAGTTTCTTGTAATGTACATGATTTGTGGGACACCATCAATAAGAAATTATTGAAGTCATTTCATTAGTTTATAATTATGGTTATAATGTAACTTATAATAATTATAATGATCATAATTATTATAATGTAGCTTAGGCAGTGCTAGTTTGTTTGAGGTGGTTTCTTCCATTTAATGCATAGTAATCTTATTTGATTTTGTCAATTAGGGTTACTGTGTGACTTGCTATGGTCTGACCCTGATAAAGAAGTTCAAGGATGGGGCGAGAATGACAGGGGAGTGTCATTCACATTTGGTCCAGATATTGTCTCCAAATTTCTAGCGAAGCATGACTTGGATCTTATCTGCAGAGCCCATCAGGTGAGGTTTATATCTGGGCCCAGTTGCTCAAAAGGTGGTGTTCACGGGATAAAAATCTATCCGGTGGATAACACAATTTGTTTCTCAAATACTTCTCCAGTGGCTAGGGCCATCCAACATTTGAACAATCAGTTCCTAGCAAGCACAATCCTCCAGACATTCAAGTAAATTTGTTATCGGGAGAGTATGCTTTTCTCTTGTCTGAATTTCAAAACCGTACATTTCACTTGTTAGGGCCATTTATACAAGGAAAAATAAAATGCATGTTACAAAAGACTTTTTATAATACAAAAATAACATCTTAAATAAGATGTGACTTAGCTTAGATGCACATTATTTACTGATATAAATGGTTCATTTGCAAGTCATATTTAAGATGCATCCCCCTTTTCCTGTATGAATGGCTCTATTTCATGTAAATGGTACTTCATGTCAGTGAAGTTAACTTTTCCATAATTTACATATCTCTCTGCATGGCCAAGGACAACCATGAATATTATCCATTGCAGTGCATGTTCAAAGTACACAGACTGTATGATTGATAAAAACACTGGGTGACTCGTATACTTCAATATGTGCTAAGCCCATTGGGCTTTGCTGAACAAATTTCGCTTATTGTCTTATGTTGGTATAACAAATAAACTTAATAACAATAATTTCTTTTAAACAACAGGTTGTAGAAGATGGTTATGAGTTCTTTGCCAAGCGGCAGTTAGTGACACTATTTTCAGCACCTAATTACTGTGGAGAATTTGATAATGCAGGTGCCATGATGAGCGTGGATGAAACACTTATGTGTTCCTTTCAGGTGAATATCTTGCATTATGGTAAAAAACTCATGTACTTTGAATGACTACTGTCAGTTATGTTTTTAAAAGAATGAAAAGGCTTCAAACTAGAAAATGCTTCTATTTTGTGCATTATGAATTCTGTTTGACAAAGAACTTGCTTTACTACTATTTTCCCCTTTCCCCTTTTTCATCCTTGCCCCAGGGATCGAAAAAAGTCCTGTCCAGTAGTTTGGGACAATTTGATTTCCTTACTTAAAGCCCACTTGCTTAATGGGCAAAGGGCAAGATTCTGGGAAAGTTATCTTTCAACCTAAACAGTACGTAAGGACATGTTAGAAGAATTCAACAGGGCTCGACGTTGCGACCTGTGGGGTCGCCAATGCGACCAGCTTTTATGCAGTGGCAACTAAATTTTCACGCCTGGTCGCCAACCTGGCCTCCGAGAGAGGTGACTTTCTTCTTTGGGAAAACGTACACTAATGATAATTTGTTATCCTTTAAAAAACTAACGGATAGTTAACGGTTTTTCTAACGCTCTAACCTTTTGCCCAAACGCTTTAACGGTTCGTTCAAAAGGCGTTTTAACGATTTGTCTAGACGCTTTAACGATTTTTTCCAACACTCTAAAGGATTGTCCTTATGATCTAACAGATGGTCCGTCTAACACTTGACTTTTACTTGAAAGAGGATTGTGAAAATCCCAAGTGCTGAATTCAACGGAGGTCTTATCGACTTTCGGGCAAATCGATCGCAATTCTCAACAGGTCGTCCCGTGTTTCTCCAGGAATGACTTTTAGCGCATTGATTTAAAACAGTTTCTTAATATGTCGAACATGTTTCTCGATTTTCGGACTCGATAGCAGATTAGTCTGATAAAGCTTAAGCTAATCGAGAGCCAATGGCGCTCAGTTATTTCTCGAGCTTCTTGTAAACAACTTTCTGTTGAGCGTGACGACCCAAATAAAAGCTCTGCCATATTTTACTGACTTCTAATGAAGTACCGTTGAATTCATGCTCTTTGTCTAACAGACTTCTCGCGAAATCAACTTTTTTGCCCAAAAACATTAGCGACGTTTCCTCTTTCTAGAGACTTTCGATCACGTGCTACACAACCGCGAAATAGATCAAGTTTCACCAATGTTCATTTCTGAACGTGAAAATACATGGGACGCAAAACAAATTTTGCAGATTTTGTTCTTGAATAACTCAAATAGGTGTTTTTTTATTTCTAGAGTTTGTTTATCTAAATGTGCATTCCATTGCTTGAATACCTGTTTGAGGAGATTTATGCCTGAGTACGGGTTCATTTTCCCGAACAACGGCTGGTAATCGAGCCTCGAGCGAAAACCGTTCGAAAGAAAGTTCAAAGGAAGTCTAAAGCATTCTTTTTCTGTTAAGGCTAAGTAAAAGACGTTAAGTTTATTGTATTCCATTAGTTCTTAAATATAATATTTGGCGACTAGAAGACTTAATCTGGCGACCGAAAAAGAAAACTTGGGGGCCAGTTGGCCCCAACATTTTTTTCTGAAAGTCGAGCACTGTATGTTTTTTTGAGCCCTGCCTGCCAATGAACAGTTCTTACTCACCACATTTTCATTAAAACCATCCCTCTAAAAGATTGCACAGAATGAGCAGTGGTTTTCAAATGATATTTACTGTCACTTAAAAAAGTCCAGCAATTGATAACTATCATGATGGAAATCAGTCTTAACTTTAAACTGAAGTCTGTCTAATCATTGTTACAATCATCACTGCCATAGCTGTGAACACTGAGTTTTCTTTTTTTTTCCATATAATCAGTGTTTTTTTGTCAAGGATCATTGCAATGGCAGCTATCATACAGAAACCAAACTTTATTTAGATTATTTTGTAACCCAATGCCATTTTTCACATAGTGTTTTGTTATTGTCCACAGATTCTAAAGCCTGCCGACAAGAAAAAGTTTCCATACGGAGGTTTGAACTCTGGTCGTCCGGTAACACCACCAAGAGGACAACAAGGAAAAGGGAAAAAGAAATGATATTTGTATGATACGATCTTTTGCAGAGACTGTAAAATATTATTGCCATACAGTTTAGTTTATTTTGTAGAGTAGCCTTAAAGAAAGTTGATGGACTTCTCTTTTCATAGTTTACAGAAAAAAAGCATCCATGTAATTTTACCTGTTTTGAGTGCAGCTTGATATCATTTATGTGTTTTTGTTGTATTTAATCTTCTCTCATTAATTTTACCTGTTTTGTGAAATACTGTACTACCTCATTCTGTGATATTTTTGCAAGTCTGACCAGTGGTGTTAATGCACCATGGAAGAAAGCTGTGAAATATAGGCTATATTTTTTGCGGAATTGAAAGCATTGATATTGTATTTTATCCAAAACTGAATTGCAAAAGTAAAGCTGCAAGATGAAGGTCCATCAATTGAAAAAGTATTTTAAACTATGCTAGAAAAATATTGAGAATGAGGGAGTTTTGTTGTAGACATTATGATTATCATTATTACACTGTATCATCATCATTATTATTATTATTGCTTTGCCAGCTTTTAAAGCATTTAAGGGGAGGGTCAAGCACATACATTGCAAAGATGATATAGCAGTTTGTTAGCTTCCTGTTGGGTATATTTTACCTTTAAGGGACCCAATAAAACTGACATTTTCGTAGTATTAATGAAGCAGTACAGTTGAACTACTTGTGTTCACTTCTGTGATAAAGACACATTTATTATGGGCCATTCTTTGTCCCACAGATCTATTTTTCACATTTAATAAAATGCAAACCTCACCTATAAACAGGGGGCTTATTTCTTGAAACTACTGGGCCTGAAAAGCAAATATTTCTATCAAGAGTTTTCATCCAAGTTTTGGATGTTAAAGTTTTCAGAAGGCAAATTATAGCAGTACTCTACAGGTTTAAGTTGACTAATGTGCCAGGCAGGTTTTTAGGGTAAAATTCAATTCTGCTTGTGTATATACTTCTTGTAGACTTGATTTTAAAATGTTTTGCTTTAGGCCTGAAAAGCTTTCAGGAGAAAGAAGTGTTCAACTGTATTGGTTTCTGTTTAACCACTTGTATATTTTGTGTCCATGTGATGATTTGTGCTAAAAGGGATCATTGTCATTCTTCCAAAATCCTACCTCCCCCACCACTACTTTTGGAGTTAAAGAAAAACACCTGTAGTTAACCTTAGAAATGTAAATTTTACAGTCATTGAGAAAGATGCAAGCAAAAGCTTTAATGGCAGGCACTTACACAATAAATTCTACTTGTCTGCATTAAAGGAGGCAGTGGTGGTATTTCACAAGGATATGTGAGCACAAAAGTGAATAATATTCCTTCAGGAAGTAGTGTGAAATTGCATCATTGTTAGTCCAGCATTTCGTACAATATACTTCTTCTTTTTCCAAACCTTTTCAGCTTTCTCTTTTACATCTACTTTTGAATTAATGTCATTTTACAAATGCTTTATGCAGTTTTGTTTGTACTTGGAAATACCTGCATTGCCTTCTAGCCAATGACATAAACATTATCTAACAGAGATGTAAAATATTTAAATTTTACTGTCTTGAAAGGTCTATCTCTTACTATCAAACACTTTTGCAGTTGCACTATGCCACCTTTGGCTGAAAATTTTATCAACTACAAAAATTGAACCACATCATCATTGTAATATAATGGCAATTTTTACTGTCTTTTGTAACAAAGTACAAGATAGTTTTGTGTATCATGGGGAAGTATTTGATTAATTTGGTCTCTTTTTTATTTTATGTAGCTTCTTAGAACACTATATTATTGTGTGATGTAGTAAGTGAGTTTTACTAGCCTTAAGCATTTGAGCTTTCAATTGTTGCTTAGGGCATTCAATTATCTCTTCATTCATATCTCACAGCGAACTTCCAACAGGATAATGTAGCCCTGATGAATCAATAATTGTTAATTGTAAAAAAAGATAAACCGGAGCTTCCATTTGGCAATGTAACGTAGTTCTTTCTGAATTCTCTTAACAGTGGGATCTAGAATTGTGTGGATCATAACAGTACATTTCTGCTGATATTATTGTAGCTTTTGTTACATCGGGGTTATATGTACCAGCGCGAATTTAAAGCCTAAAAACACTTATGTCCGGTTATTTCTTTTTCAACAGCGGGAAATACATCTGTGTTTGCGGGGGCGGTCAGCTAACTCTTTTACTTGAAGCTCAATTTCCCATGGAAATAATTTCCAACATCTTTTTTTGCTAGCATAATTCTTTTATTGAAACAGGATATTTAAATGAAGACATTACATGTAAATGTAAAGCTTGATTTCGTCATCCTTCATATCCTTAAGAAATCATTTAATTGCCTGTCAATTTAATCTTGTACATACTGAAGAAATAAAATTTGTATAGATCGCACTTGTTTGGATTTCCGGTTAATATTTAAAGTTGATACTCATTGGTGGAGATAAAGTTCTAGATATGGACACCAAATTGTTTGTTTGTTTACCCTGTATGTTCCATGCAGCTTGCCTAAAACTCTTCGTTTTGGCTTATGGCACTGTCTTTAGCCTTTTAAAATAGCTCCCAACAGTGATATCACTATTCCCCACACCAGAAACTAGAAGGGAATGGGTACAAGTTTTTGGAGCATTGGTTTGTGGTATCCTTTGGGTGGACAGGCGTTACTTTTTAATATGGTTAATGGTTGCCTTGGATACCATCAACCAATCATAACTAACGCTTGTCCACCCAAACGATCCCAGGAATCGTTGCACCGAAAGCTTGCATCCATTTCCCATATAGTTCAGGAGAGGGGAATTGGTCTACCTGGTGATTCAAACAGGTAGAAAAAGGTAAATAATTACCACTAATATGCTTTGAGAACTGAGAAGTATTCACTACTGCCCCTTTACAGTGACAAGTTAGCAACTCTTGTTTCTCCAAAGTATAGACAAGTTCCGGTCAGTCCAGGCCGCTCGGGAAAAGATCATCTACGATGGTGTTAGATACGTGAGCGTCTAGGGGCGTAGCCAGGAATTCCCCAGGGTAGCCTGAGTATCAGGCCTTCCTAAGGGGCTAGGGGTGTACGTGTGGCAAAGTCGGCGCAAGACAATTATTATAGCTGTCTTCTGAAAAACAGTTTGACAGCAGTCAAAGCAGGGATGCACAGGCGCTTGAACTTTTTTCATGTGCTTATTTCCCTTCTGTTTAATATTTCTTTGCTGTTATTTTTCGTATTTTGTCTGTTCTGACCATTTTTCAGGTACCGAAGTGCCTACTGACGTACAGGGAGCTTCGCCCTGCGTCGTTGTACAATCCGCTAGTAGGTGACCACGCCCAATGAGTATTGGAACCATCCTATGTCTCGAGAGTGGCCGTCATATAACGTTTTCACGGTATTGAGAAGCCATGATAACGACTGACAAAAGAAAACGAAATGAAGGATATAAGTATGAACAGATCGAAGGAATCTCAAGAGACTTAGGTGCACACAGGCGTTTAATCTTGCCGCTTTTGCAACATCTAGTTTAACCGTCAGTTTTTATTTCCTTTAAAATGTCAGTGGCTTCTTTTTAGTGGCAAGAAATCAAGCTATTTTCGTCTTTCAGGCATTACTAGCATCCAGTACTTTCTGTCTTTTTTTTTGCAATTTTCTTTTAATTTTCAGTCCAAAGTATCTGTTAGACATATCAGACTCTCTTTAAAGCATCTCTTTAGATAAACAAGAGTCTCTTCAAAGTATATAGTAAAGTTAAGGGGTAAAGTTGGGAAAGCTTAAATGACTTTTATTCGTAACGGAAACGGCAACAAATCTCTCTCTTATTTAAATATAATAAAACCGAAGTAGAAAACCATCAAAAACAGAACATCCCAAAGCTCGAGTCCTTCCGAAATCTACAACAAGTTGCTTAATTAATATGTTGCTGTCGCTTATTTAGCTTATTAATATTTATATATTATTACTACTTTGTAAACAAATGACTAGTAGAATTGTGATAGCACATTTTGGCTTGTTCTTGACCTTGACCTTTATGCCATATAAGCCTCTGGCTTAGGCACTCTGAACCGTATTTTATACTGTATGCGCTTTGAAAGAACTAAGATTGATTGATTAAAGTTGCTAAATTGAAGTTGATAAGCTGGTTCGCAAATTTCCAGCTTTTATTTGACAATTTGCATCTCATAAAAAAAAAAATAAAAACAGTCGGTTGTACTAGCTGATGAGGCGATAATGTTATCGTATGCTTCTGTTATGATATGAAATAAATGCCCAAAACAAATTTCAAGGTAACTACAGAAGAACCAGTATTTCCAGTGACCTAAGGTTGAGGTTCTTGTATGTAAAAAGCGATGACTGGCACACTTCTTAAGCAAAATTGCAATCAGAATGAAAATATATATATAACTTTTTTTTTTTTACAAACCAATTGTACATGTCATCTTGCTATTCTTCTTTACCCCACGGTTAAAAATTCAACTTCAGTGGCGGATCCAGACCTTCAGATAAGGGAGCGAAGGGGGTGGGAGGGGGCGGTCATCCAGACCCTGAGATAACGGGGGAGCCCGGTCTCCCAAAAATTTTGTTTCGGCCCTTCGGGCTTCATTTTGGTCTAAAAATAAGGGGGCGGCCCCCTGGGCCCCTCCCCTGCATCCGCCACTGAACTTAACACTGTTATAGTTGAATTTCCAACTCCAACTGAGATAATCTCAATTTTCACAAAACTTTAATGTTTCACACCCACCCCTCATTCAACTCCCACCGGACTTAGTTATGATCTTTTGCCTTTTTCGTAGCCTGCGAGCAAGCTCTGCAACTGTGGTGAACAAAGCCAGCCGCGAGACAACTCACGAGGTCGCGCGTCTCCTTTCACGTGCGCCTCTCGCGTGACTTCTTGTAACTCCTCCAAATGGAGAGCTTGCTCATAGGCCACGTTTTTCACTGCAACTGCAGCATTTTCATACTACAGTAACCTTCCAATAAGGGGACCTTAGGTCCTCGTAACTTATAGCAACGTGTCCATCGTCTGTCACTGTCATTCCCCGTACCCAGTGAATTTTTTCCCCTCTTAGGTAAATTTCCCGCACGAACTTGCCATTTTTTGCGTAGATTTGTACGCGAAGGATGTCTTTGCTGCGATCTTTTTGAACGACGACGACGTATTCGCTCTCTCTGTGGAACGCAATCTTAGATTCCTCGCTTGGGCCTGGCCCATCAATTGAAAACCCGAAAATTTGGTCTCCCTCTCCACTAAAAACGCTTATGGAGCTCATTTCAAGGATCATGACACGAGCATCATTATCAGTCACGATGGCTGAAGCAGACTTGATTTTCTCTTCACCAAAACTACAAACAAACTGTCCATCAGTGCTGTACACATCGACTAAATCATTCACGCGATATCCTCCTCGAGTCTTTTCCCCTCGTATTCCATTAAGAAGAAACACTTTGTTGCTGTCACTGACTGCCAGATAAGAGTGTAGTCCATTGAAACCGCACCAGTTCCTCGTTACTGGAAGGTGAGAGGAGGTTCGCTGTAAGTGAGTTTCCTTATCGTAGACGGTTAACGTTAGCTCCGTTGTGTATTCCATTTCGTTTGCCTCTCGTTTCAACAGATATGAAAGTGTGTATATGTTGTCATTTTGGTCAG